TGGTTGATCTGCTAGAAACCTGCGTTCTATGCTAGGCTCTGCCATTCCTTTGTTGTGTGGCCTTGGACCTCAATTTCCTCACCTGTAAAATGGGGTTAGACTGGCCTAGTGAAAACCTAAACTTTTAAGACGGACTGACCTGAACTAAGTTTTTCACTCCAGCAGAGCCACATTATGACTTTCATGGTCCCTAGGCATTTTGCCTTCATGCATCCCTTCTTCCACAAAAAATATTAAAAAGTGTATTTTACAACTATGTTGGTATAAATACAAATATATTAATATTATGTATTAAGGTTTTTACTTCAACCTAAAATTTTATCTTATTCCTTCTTCTGAAAGAAAACATTTCCATGGCCCTCAAAAGTATTATGAACCCTGGGGAGCCTGGGTGGCTTTGTCAGTTAAGTGACTGACTCTTGATTTCGGCTGAGGTCATGATCTCACTCACGGTTCATGAGTTCGACCCCCACATCGGGCTCCATGCTGGCAGTGCAGAGCCTGCTTGGGATTCTCTGTCTCCCTCTCTCTCTGCCCCTCTTGTGCTCTCTCTCTCTCTCTCTCCAAATAAGTAAAATAAACTTTAAAAAATTATTTTAAAAAATGTATTACAAACCCTAGGCTCTGTGCCTACTGTGCCTCATGGAAGAGTCATGCTGGACTCCAGTACTTACCGGCTTTGTGACCATGGGCAGTTGTTTAACTTCTCTGGGCCTCAGTTTCCTCATTTATACAATGGAGATGACAACAGACCCCACCTTTTTGGTGCCATGGTTGGAATTTAGTGAGAGAGTGCATGGCATGACTTCTTAGAGCAAGCCCTAGCCAATGGTAGTAGCTATTATTATTATTATTATTATCTTCTTTAAGGATATTTTCTTTTTTTGATGTTTATTTATTTTTGAGAGAAAGAGAGAAAGCAAGCAGGGGAGGGTCAGGGAGAGAGGGAGACCCAGAATCTGAAGCAGACTCCAGGCTCTGAGCTGTCAGCACAGAGCCCAATGTGGGGCTCGAACCCATAAGCCATGAGATCATGACCCAAGCCAAAATCGGACTCTTAACTGACTAAACCACCCAGGTGCCCCAAGGATATTTTCTAACCTCCATGAAACTATTAAAATATCTCAGGGGTGCCTGGGTGGCTCAGTCGGTTGGGCGTCTGACTTCGGCTCAGGTTATGATCTCACAGCTCTTGAATTGGAGCCCCACGTCAGGCTCTGTGCTGACAGCTCTGAGCCTGGAGCCTGCTTTGGATTCTGTCTCTCTCTCTCTCTCTCTCTCTCTCTCTCTCTGCCCCTAACCCACTTGCATTCTGTCTCTGTCTCTCTCAAAAATAAATAAACATTAAAAAAATTTTAACTTCTCAAAATATGTCAAAAAAATAAAACGAAACTTCAGGATATTTGATGGGGGAAGTTTAAGAGTTTCCTAGAGAAGAGTGTATCAGCAGAAGGAGTTTTTGCAAATGATAAACATAGATTTTTCTCCTGCCGTTGGCAAACTCATGAAATAGGAACATGGACTTGTACCAATCAGCTGGAATCTGGGCCAGCTGGAGAATATGTGCAAGCCCATGTTCCTACCTCATGAGCAGATACTTGGGAAAAGTGTGTGTGTGTGTGTGTGTGTGTGTGCGTGTGTGTGCGCGCGCGCGCGTGTGTGTGTGTGTGTGTGTGTGTGTGTGTGTGTCTGCAGCATTCATCTCAGAGAAAGGAGATTTGCATGGAGATTTGAAGGCTATGAAAGCCTTAGGCCTATGGAGACAGGGACATTGTGTTTGCAGGGAAGAGGGGCAAAGAGGGGAGGGGAGCTTTAGGCTGAGAAACATTATGTATAAAGGTCTGGGGCAGGAGGGTGGAGGGCAAATTCAAGCAACCGCGGTGAGGTTTACCTTTCTTTAGCTGATTTTTTTTTAATTTTTTTTCAAATGTTTATTTCTATTGACAGAGTGTGCCAATGTGATCAGGGGAGGGGCAGAGAGAGAAGGAGAGAATCCCAAGCAGGTTCTGCACTGTCAGCACAGAGCCTGATGCAAGGCTCCATCTTACCAACCATGAGATCATGACCTGAGCAGAAATCAAGTCGGACACTTAACTGACTGAGCCACCCAGGTGCCCCTCTTTAACTGAATTTTAGTTCTCGTATCCCTGGTGCCATCCCATTTTATATCCTTCAAACATTGTTTGAGAAACGTGAATGCACTAGGAAGCCCTGTCAATTTTTTAATCCCCAATTTGTACCAGCAAAAATCACTCCCTAACTTTGTAAGTTAGGTGTTTCCATCTGGAAGTGTTTCTAAAAGAAAAATTACAACAATCCTGCTACCCAATGTCTACTACTTTTGGTTCAAAAAATATTTTCTTTTAAGGATAATTATGTGAAGACTATTGCCTTCTTCTCCAAGATGGCACAGTAGTGCCCTCTGAGTTTAATTAATGACACAAAAACTCTGTCTCCTTTTATTTTCCTGGTTTGACAACTGTCCTTATACTTGCCTTCTCCAGCCCGAGGGAAAGATATGAGCCAGGGCTGCTGAACTGAAGAAACTCCCTCCACCCTCTGGCCCCCAGCCCACAGAGACAGGATGAAGAGCATGAAAGAAATGCTGCTGTGTTTGAGGCAGGAAGGGGATGTTGATAAGAAAGAGAAAATAACAGGAATGGAAGAGGGGCATCTCAATTTCTCAAGACTCACTTGCTGAAATACTTCTTGTGATCAAAGATAAAGAAATGGAACCTTGGTCTGATTCCTCGTATAGCAAAAATTCAAAGTAATTAAATGAGAGACATATGTACCCAAAGACTTAAAGCGAGCCACCCTTTGACGGAGCAAGTCCTGCTAATAAAAATATAGCCTCCACTTGTCAAGGGCTTGCTAAGTGTGAAGCACACATTCAGTGTTTTACATTCATTATCTTACTGAAACTTCACCTCTGAGGTTGATCACATCAGGGGACTGAAGGCAAGTGGCCTGCTCAGCATCCCAGAGCTCGTAGGTGGTACAGATTATGGCTCCAAAGTGAGCCTATTCCCTCCTCATGTTACCCTCTTCTCACTAAGCAGGGCCAGGAGAGTGAGTTTAAGATCTGGTTTCTCAATAACTAATGAAAGAAAAGTCTTATCCTCAGGTCTTCTGGGAGCCTCTCAAAAATGCAGGCTTTTGGGCCCCACCCCAGACCTTCTGAGACAGCCTCTGGGGGCCTGGAGCCTAGGCATCAGCATGGCGACAGGTCCCCTGGGATTCTGGGACACACCAGTTTTGAACCCTCTGGATAAAGCCAAAGCTGAAAGGTTGTGTACCACCAAGGTGTGCCTTCCTTCCCCTAAAAGGCACAAGAGTTCCTTGCCCCAGTCAGGCCAGGTGACCCAAAGGGATGGGAGCATGTCTGTGGCCCTGTTAAGTTGTGGCCAGCAAGAAGCCCCACTCTGCCTCCTCTTGCTGGGCAGAGTGGCCCCAGAGCCAGCAGGTGCCCGTGGCTCCAGTAAGCTGCTCCAATGCAGAGACAGAAGGATGTCCTGTCACAAAGGAGGTCACAGGGTGGGAAGGACCAGCTGGAGCAGTGGACAGGACAGTGGTTGGTCTGGTCCACCTTCCCCTGCCTCCCCCACCGAGCACAGGGCTCTTGTCCCAGCCATGACGCTGGCCTCTGGAATGAAAGGATCATCATCTCCTCCAGAGTAAGCTCATTTGGGAATTGCCTGCTTGACCACTTGGGACCTTGGAAATTGGATGTCTTCCTGGGTTGGTGAGCCCTGCTCACAAGAGGAGGTGACAGGAACTTTATAACCTTACTACCTTCCCCCCATTCCAACGAAATTTGGGGGAAAATGGTTTTCCCATGTAAGCAGAACACTTTTGATTTAATTCCGTCAGTCAGATGCAACCAAATTTCAAAACTCAGGCTTATGGTCTCTTTTTCTTATATCAAAAGTCACATTGTCTCTGATATATTAAGGAAAATCAGCGAGAAGTAGGACCATGCATAATATACTCTATGTTTCAAGGTTACATATGGTGCTTATTTATGCATAGACTCTCTTGGAAGGATGCATAAACTGGTAAGAGGGCTTGCTTCTGAGACAGGAAACGAGTGGGTGAGGTCCCGGGGCAGCATTTCTTGTCTCTGCTTATTCTTTGGTACTGCTCGTATATTTAGCCATGTTCAGGTACCACTTGAACAAAAGAAGCAATGTAAGGGAAAGCGAAGTGAAACAAACAAGAATGGTCACCATGGATACAGGCAAAATGGTGCCGGCAGGAGTCCTCTGTAACTCTTTGGTTGCAGAATGATAACAAAACCCTGAGCCTCTGCCAGCCAGCTGGCCTACTCAAAGCCCAGGAGGAGGGAGGCTTGGGGCCATGCAGGGAAGGGGCAGTCCTGCTGGACACAGAGTGCAAGATGGGATGAAGGTGAGGCTGACGTGTTACGCCAGAAAATACAGACCCTTGTGGGCATCCAAAAACTCTGGGCTCTCTCCAGATGGCGGTGGGAGCCCCCGCAAGGTATTGAAGCAGGGCTGGGAATGCAAGTGGGCTGTGGTCAGAATGGAATTTCAAAGGATGGCACTGGTGGTTACTGGGCTTGCTGAGTTGGAGGACAATTTGGAGGCAGGGAGGCCAGGTGGGATGGCCTTCATTCTTCATCCCCATGAGACATGATCACCATCCTGACCTCGAACGGGAGGGGACAGATTCCTCAAACAGATAATTGCCCAAATCCTAGGGTACAGTTGGGGCCTTGGCCTTTCTCAGGACGTGAAGCCTGTCCTTTTGGACTGCAAAACCCCCCAGTTTCCTTTTAGGTAAGTCAGGGGAGGAAGGAGCCCAAGAAGGGTAAGAGAAGACTGTCCTCCCAATTTGACTCAAGTCAGATTAAATTCAAGTTGAAAAATGAAAGCAGTTGGACCAGACTTGTTTCCTGAGTGCAGGCAGAAGTTCATACCTGTTAAAGCTGTTTTATTTAGAAGCAAGAAATGGTTAATAAAATGGCATTCTTGTATCTAGGAGCGACGGGTCTTTTTCTTCCTTGGAGAGATAGATTTTTTGTTGGTGGCGAAGACCCTTGAAGATTGTAGTTTAAATTCAACTGGAAAGTGGTCACTGACATCCAAGGCCTATAAAGAGAAAAAGGAGATAAATTTGGGGATTAGGAGACTCTCATTTTAGTGCTGAACAAATTCAGGTTCAAAGTGGGAAGACAAAAGGCCTAAAGTCACCCAACAGAACACACACTGGTGAGCATCATCCCTGGACCAGCTCAATCAGAAATTGAGACAGGTCTTCAAGTCACAGAATCATGGGCTTTGAGACTCAAGGTCCAATGGCCCAGTGTTGTGTCTCCAGTGGTGGCCTCAAAGGGTGACACCAACTCATCTTCCCAGGACAGTGGCACAGAAAGACAAGATGGCAGCTGTACCTCCTCTTTGGTCAACCCATAAGCTTTCTGGAAGTCAAAGGTTCTGTTTGATCTGTGAACAACAAAGTTGATGATCTCTTGTCCTCGAAGCACGATCCTGGAGAAGGGGAGGGAAGACAGTCACATTAATCCACCTTGTTGATTTCTGAGACCAACCAAATTTCCTGTTTGACATCTGGAATGGACTGAGCAGCCTGGCTCTTCCAAGTGATGTTCAAAGTGCAGACCTGGTGACCCTTAGGACAATGCCTCAGACTGGGAAATGGGACCAAGCCCTGCCGTGGCCCCATGGGCTCCAAAACAGTGTTTCCCTGTGTGGGCAGTTAGCCCTGATGGTGGAGGAGAAGATTATAAATGATACGTGGACACCACACCACGTACCGATGACTTGCATAGTGAGAATATTTTTCCCTTCACAGTTATTTTTCACTTTTCTTGATTTGATTATAGAGAAAGGTACTGGCTTATCTTTAATAACCCCCTAAGCTCCCATTTTGACCAAGACTGAGCAGGCTGGAGTCACCAAGCATTCTGCAAGCGAGAGAACTAAGGCAGAATTTAACATGGTTTGATTTTCACAGGGCTTATTTTTAGCTATTTTCAATTTACGACAGAGGATATTGTTTCTCACCTTAACATGAAATTTCCTTTAAAAATTAATTTATTTCATTAGAAGTGAATGGACTTAAAGACAAATACAGACAAAAACCATAGTATGGTTGCTTTGCGGTGATAACAAACACCGGGAACATGGTAGCTAAATGAGTCTGGGAAACATGGACTCTAATGTATCCCAGGTGGAGTGATGAGTTGGGGTCTGCATGGCTCCAACCCACTGACTGAACAAGGACAAGGTGAGTCAAACTGCCAGTTCATGCCTCTCCACCAAGCTTTCCCTGATCCGACCTGTGACTTGGTTTCCTGTGTTTGCTACCATACCACCGGGGTTAACTTTGAATTCAGTACCCAAGTGAACTCTTCACCTTCGGCTGGAGATTTCTTAGAGCCATCCTTCAGACCCAGAGAGTAGAGAGCAACATCATTAAGACCCCCGTTTCTGACTCCTACATATGTGTGCAGGCCATTGAAGTCTTTCCCGAGGCGTGGCACAGGCCAGCTCTTGACATCTTTTGTGTCCAGCAGCAGAGCACAGCTCGTGGGAGGTGTTCAATAAATATCTGAACACGGAACGAAGACTGGAATTGAGACCATTTCATTTTACTCTCCTTGTTAGAAATTTATATGCCTTTTTATAAATTTTCTTTTTTTTTTTTTTTGAACGTTTATTTATTTTTGGGACAGAGAGAGACAGAGAGTAATTATGAACGGGAGGCGGGAGAGGGAAATACAGACGAAAATCTCCAGGCTCTGGTTATTTAATCAGCTCAGCCTGACGCCGATCAGGACGCGAATCATCAGAATCGTGTGACCTGGCTGAAGTCGAGCGCGACCGGCCAGCACACACCGGGCTTCCTATATGGCGCTCTTTTTTTAAAAACCTAAAAACATAGGCTTTGAAATGAAAAACAAAAATTAGAGCAGCAAATGAGAATGGAAAAAAAAGCACATGTAATCCTGCCATCCTTTGGCATATATGTGTATAAAACTGAGGTTCTTTCAGTAAACATCTTTTTTTAACCTGTTCCCCCACCCCACCCAATCTTACGTGAACATCTTTCCCTGTGATTCACTGTTCTCTGCTTCATTATTTTCAATCACCTCCCTCTTGTTGGTCAGGGGTGCAGAAGGTTCTTGACCTGCCCACGGTCAATGCACAACTGCATGTGAGTAGGCAGGTGGGTGAACAGACTGGTGGGTGAACAGGCTGGCGGGTGAGTGGCCTACTCCAACCAGCTTTGTTGGCAACTGGTCAAAGTGAGAGAGAGGAGGCAGGCACCTGCGAGCTCGGCCTCTTGTAACCCTCCTGCCTTGATTCCGCTTTCCCCAGTGCTAGGGCTGTTTCCACTCTTGAGAGCTGGAGCAGTGACTTCTGCAAAGGACACACCAGCCCTGAAAGCTCCGAGAGGAACAAAGGAGGTCATGGATGGAAATGAAAGCCAGACCTCAAAACTAGAGAAGTGAGAACAGCTGTCTTCTGGCAGAAGCCGTCTCCTGCTTCCTCGGAGGCAGGCTGAGCTCTGGGAACTGCGGTCACAGCGGATTTCCCAGCCTGCGGTCTCTGCTGTGGGTGGGGAGATCATGAACATGCACACAATTCAAGTGCCTTCCCCACCTCTCAGTTTAAGAAACAAAAGTGAGAGCTGATTGAAATTCCCCAGGGAGATGTTACAACTGTGAGAGAATGTTATCACAGGAAGATTCCAGCAAGCATCACCAGGTGTGTGCTGCTCAACCACAGAGCAAGGCCCCTGGCTGATCTGCTGCAGAAACCTGTTCTGGCTAGGCTCCCTGCCATTCTGTTGTGTGCGGCCTTGGGACCTGGTCACTTCACCTGTAAAATGGGGTAAGCTGACTGGCCTAGAAACCCCAAACCCCAAGAATTATCTGACCTGTGGGAACTGGGTTTTTTCCAGCACATGGATACAGACTTCATGTCCCTGTAGGCATTTTGCCTCACATCCCTTCTTCACAACAAAAACATACAAGCGTGGTTTTACAACTGGAGTGTTGGCAGCAAATACAAATATGTTAATATTATGTATTGTTGTTTTTACTTCAACCTAAAAGTAACACCTTCCTTTATTCTTCTGAAAGAAAACATTTCCATGGTCTCAAAAAAGTGTGCAGGTATTAATATGAACCCTGGGGGAGCTCGGTGTTTTGTCAAGTTAAGTGACTGACTCTGATTTCGCATGAGGTCAGATCTCACTCACTTGCTCATGAGAATCTCCCCTAACATCGGGGCCTCTGCTGCTGCAGTGCAGGAGCCCGTTTGGGATTCTCGTTCTCTCTCTCGCCCTCCCCTTGTGTTTCTCTCTCTCTCTCTCTCCATATAAGTAAAATAAACTTTTAAAAATTATTTTAAAAATGTATTATTAAACCTCCTAGGTTTCAGCTCATTGTACTTCATGGAAGATGTCATGCTGGACTCAGGTGTACTTACCGGCGCTTTTCAGGAGACCATGGGCGTTGTTTAACTTCTCTTGGGCCTCAAGCCATTTATACAATGGATGACAAGACCTCACTCTTTTGGTGCCATGGTTGGAATTTAGTGAGAGGGCGGCGACTTCTTTGTGGTTTTCCCACAACAGGCTGGCTGGTTATTATTATTATTATCTAGGATATTTTCTTTTTTTTTTTGATGCAGCCTATTTATTTTTGGAGGAGAAAGAGAGAAAGCAAGTAGGGAGGGTCAGGAGGGGAACTGCAGAATTTAAACAGGCTCTGAGCTGTCAAGACAGAGCCCAATGTGTCGAATCAAGCCATGACCCGCCAAAATCGTGATTTAACACCGGATCAACGTTCACCCATGCCCCAAGATATTTTCAACCTCCAAACTATTAAAATATCTCAGGGGGTGCCTGGGTGGCTCAGTCGGTTGGGCTGCCTGACTTCTCGGCCAGGTTACATCTCACAGCTCTTGAATTGAGTTCCCCACGCTCTCCCAAAGACAGCCTGGAGCCTGAGCCTGTTGATCACCCTCTCTCTCTCTCTCTGCCCCTCAACCCACTTGCATTCTTGTCTCTGTCTCTCTCAAAATAAATAAACATTAGTAAAAATTTTAACTTCTCAAAAGTGTCAAAAAATAAAACGAACTTCAGGATATTATTTGGGGAAGTTTAAGAGTTTCCTAGAGAAGAGTGTATCAGCAGAAGGAGTTTTTGCAAATGAGATAAACATAGATTTTTCTTCTCTGCAAAGCTTATAAATTATGAAATAGGAACATGATTCTTTGTACCACCATCAGCTGGAATTCAAACAGTCGGTTGAGAGAGATGTGAAGTCTCCATACTTTCAATCATGACAGACATTTTAAAAAAAGCGTGTGTGCGGTGTGTGTGTGTGTAGGTGTGTGTGTTAAGTAGAAGAGGCCGCACACGTTGCAGGTGTGTGTGTGTGTGCGTGTGTGTGCGTGTCCGCAGCATCCATCCCTGAGGAGAAAAGGAAGATTTGCATGAGATTCAGTCATGAAAGCCCAGAGGCCTGGCGGAAGAGAGGGACAAGGCGCTTGCAGGAAGAGGGAAAGAGGGAGGGAGCTTTTAGGCTGAGAAACATTATGTATAAAGCAACCTGGGGCAGGAGGGTGGAGGGCAAAATCCAAGCAACCGGGTGAGGTATTTCATCTCTTTAGGCCACTTACCTTTTTTAATTTTTTTCAAATGTTTATTTCATTGACAGAGCCGCAAAATCGATCAGGGGAGGGCAGAGAGAGAAGGAGAGAAAGAACTGGCGCAGGTTCTAATTGCTGTCAGCACAGAGCCTGGGATGCAAGGCTCCATCTTACCAACCATGAGATCGATTCCAGAAATCAGTCGGTAGATGGCTTAACTGACTGAGCCACCTGAAGTTCTCTCTCTCTTTAATCAATTTTTAGTTCTCTAGTCCCTGGTGCCATCCCATTTTATATATCCTTCAAACATTGTTTCAGAGAAACGAGGGAAGCCCCCTGCTGTCAATTTTTTAATCCCCAATTGCAAAGCAAAATCACTACCTCTAACTTTGTAAGCTTCATTTGGCGCTTCTAAAAGAAAAAAATTACAACAATCCTGCTACCAATGCTCAATAATACTTTTGGTTCAAAATATTTTCTTTTTTAAGGATAATTATGTGAAGAATATCATTGCCTTTCTCCGTAAGATGGCACAGTAGTTTTGAGTTTGAATTAATGACACAAAAACTTTGTCTCTTTAATTCTGGTTTAACCGTCCTTATACTGCTCCTTCTCCAGCCGGAAAGATACATGAGCCAGGGGCTGCTGAACTGAAGAAAAACTCCCTCCACCTCTGTCTCCCCAGCCCAGAGAGAGTAAGAAGAGACAGAAGAAGAGCACAAAAAGAAATGCAAGCGTGTTTGAAAAGCAGCAGGAAGGGGGATGATGAAGAAAGAAAATAACAGGAATGGAAGAGGGGCATCACTTCATTGCCAAGACTCACTCTGTTGAAATACTTTTTGTGATCAAAGATAGTGAGAAATGGA